GAGGCAGCGCCCGCCGCCCCGGCCCCCGCCGCCAAGGCCGCCGCCAAGAAGCCGAAGAAGGCGGCGAGCGGCTCCAAAGGCCGCAAGCCCGCGGGGCCCAGCGTCACCGAGCTCATCACCAAGGCCGTGTCCGCCTCCAAGGAGCGCAAGGGGCTCTCCCTCGCCGCGCTCAAGAAGGCGCTGGCCGCCGGCGGCTACGATGTGGAGAAGAACAACAGCCGCATCAAGCTGGGGCTCAAGAGCCTCGTCAGCAAGGGCACCCTGGTGCAGACCAAGGGCACCGGCGCCTCCGGCTCCTTCCGCCTCAGCAAGAAACCCGGGGAAGTGAAGGAAAAAGCTCCCAAAAAGAAAACTTCAGCTAAGCCCAAGAAGCCGGCGGCAAAGAAGCCCGCCAGCGCCGCCAAGAAGCCCAAGAAGGTGGTGACAGCGAAGAGCCCCAAGAAAGCAAAGAAGCCGGCGGCCAAGAAAGCAGCAAAGAGCCCAAAGAAAGTAGCAAAGGCTGTCAAGCCCAAGAAAGTGGCGGCAGCAGCGAAGAGCCCGGCTAAGGCAAAGGCAGTGAAGCCGAAGTCAGCCAAGCCGAAAGCTGCAAAGGCAAAAGTGGCCAAGGCAAAGAAGGCGGCGCCCAAAAAGAAGTAAAGTCACTGAGGAAGTCTTGCTCTGCATTTAAACCCAACGGCTCTTTTAAGAGCCACCCACATTCTCTTTCAAAGGTGCTGAAATCATGAGTTTGTGTATTTATACTGTAGTCGAAGGAGTTGGGGATAATGGCAGCTTTAGAAAAATCCTTTCCAATAGTTACACAAGGTCAGTATTTTTAAATACAGTTTTCCACCATATAGACGGTAATTAATACAATAATTAAGGAATGATGGTCAAAGTGAGAGGTACTAAAGGTATAAGCTATTCCACTTACAGTGTTTCTGCATTATTAGATAGCAATTTAGCTCCTTAAGGAAAAAGTGTGTGGCTCTGAAAAGAGCCTTTGGGTTTCTCTGGATGAAGGTCTGCAGCCTTTATTCTTCGGTGCTCACTTGGCTTTCGCCTTGTGACTCTCAGTCTTCTTGGGCAGCAGCACGGCCTGGATGTTGGGCAGCACGCCGCCCTGCGCGATGGTCACCTTGCCCAGCAGCTTGTTGAGCTCCTCGTCGTTGCGGATGGCGAGCTGCAGGTGGCGGGGGATGATGCGCGTCTTCTTGTTGTCGCGGGCCGCGTTGCCCGCCAGCTCCAGGATCTCGGCCG